CCAGAGGAAAACATTACAGGTAGTCCTTGACTTATGGCCACAATTGAGCCCAAAATTTTCTGTATTTTTCGCTCCATAAGATAACAGATAATCAGAGTTGGAAGGGACCTTGTAGGTCATCTAGTCCAACCCCCCACCCAAGCGGGAGACCCTACACCATTTCTGACAATCTCTTCTTGAAAGTCTCAAGTGATGGCGCTCCCACAACTTCCGAGGGCAAGCTGTTCCATTGGTTGATTGTTCTCACTGTCAGAAAGTTTCTCCTTATTTCCAGGTTAAATCTCTCCTTGTTCAGTCTCCATCCACTATTCCTTGTCTGGCCTACAGGAGCTTTAGAAAATAGCTTGACCCCTTCCTCTGTGTGGCAGCCCCTCAAATATTGGACTACCACTATCATGTCTCCCCTGGTCCTTCTCTTCACTAGACTAGCCATGCCCAGTTCCTGCGACCGTTCTTCATATGCCTTAGTCTACAGTCCCCAAGATGCACCTGACCATAAGACGCACCTAGGTTTAGAGGAGGAAAACAAGAAGGAAAATATTCTGAACTGGAGCCTGAGAGGATCACAGATAGGTGTCCTCTCATGTGCCAGCTCTGCCTATTGACTCCTGCACTGCGGAAAAGAGACAGAAGAGGAGGGCAATGACAAAGACAGAAGAGGCAGGGTTCAGCTCTGTAAAAGGACCCCGCTGCCACAGCCCAGCTGCTATTCACCAAAGGACGGGCTCCGTGACGTGCAGACATTTTCACCCATTTTGGGGGGAGGAAAAAGTGCCTCTTACAGAATAAAAAATGCTAAAATGGTATATTGCTAAGTAAGAGATTTGTTACCTCAGTTTTGCCCCATTTTACAACTTCTCTTGCCACAGTTGTTAAGATACCCTACAGCCCCAGACTTGAGATTCCAGGCTTAGACAACCTTGAACTACGCCGAGTAAGATTGGACGTAAGCATAGTACATAAAATCATATGTTACAATGTCTTACCAGCTAATGAATATTTCAGCTTTAACCACAACACAAGAGCACACAACAGATGTAAACTTAATGTAAACCACTCCAAACTTGATTGCAGGAAGTACGATTTCAGCAACAGAGTGGTCAGTGTCTGGCATTCACTACCTGATTCTGTTGTCACCTGCTCAAACCCCCACTCCTTTACCCTCAAACTAACCTCTATTGACCTCACCCCATTCCTAAGAGGTCTGTAAGGGGAGTGCATAAGCGCACCATCGTGCCTACCGTCCCTGTCCTATCGTCCCCAATTATTAGTTCCTATTTCTTGTATTTAAACTTATGTTTATTCTTGTTTCTGTTATATTGTAAGCTTTTGACAAATAAATAAATAAGTGAATCCCTGCAGTTGTTAAGTTAGTAACACGGTAATTAAGTGAATCTGGCTTCCCCATTGACTTTGCTTGTCAGAAGATCACAAAAAGGGGATCCCATGACCCTGGGACACAGCAATGGTCCTATATATGAGTCAGTTGCCAAGCATCCGAATTTTGGTCACACAACTATGGGGTTGCTACAACGGTCATGTGAAAAATGGTCCTAACTCGCTTTTTTCAGTGTCGTTGTAACATTGAATAGCCACTAAACAGTTGTAAGTTGAGGGCTACCTGTGCCTTTTTCAATTCTGGAAAAACATATTCTTAGTCTGTATCTATCATATAAGACAGGGGTCTTCAAACTTGACAGCTGAAAGACTTGTGGACTTGAACTCCCAAAATTCCTCTTCAGTCATGTTAGCTCAGGAATTCTGGGAATTGAAGTCCACAAGTCTTAAACTTGCCAAGTTTGAAGACCCTTGATATAAGACAATGCAAAACTATTTGGCCTTATTTGATTCCCTCAACCAAGATGGCAATTATTTCTTATAATTGCCAGAACATGTTAGTCTGGCCCCTTGACCTAAGAATCTTTATTGGAGGACATGATCCTCAAAACTCCCTCATTTCCCCAAACAACCTTCCAAGGCAACATCCTTAGCATATGACTGGCACACCGCAACACCATTTTGTTCTATTTAGACAAAAACAAGTGGAGGAAACTGAGTTGGGTTCCAAAAAAAGATTTTACTTGTAAGAACAAGGATATAAAACTATAGCATGATTATAGATAAACTGCTATTGGTACCATATAAATTACACCATAAGGAAACATACGCCCAAAAAGATGTCTGCCTTTCTAAAGAACTTTCCAGTTAAAAAGATGATATTCCAGCAGTTGATCAGTGATAACCACAGCAAAAGACGACAAATGGTTTGGGAGAAAAATCAGTGCAACGGCATTCATTCTTTGATTCCTGATATGTAGCCACTGTTGATTCAGAGAGAGAGAAATATACTTTGAAAAGAATTCCTTTCTGGAGAGAGAAGCCGTTTCTGTCATTCCCTTCAATAACCTTGAAAGAGCCCATCCCTTGCACTCCGAAAGAACTTCACGCTTGGAATTAAGCAGTGCATTTTTGAGTCTAGCCCAGGCAGGGGCACTTCCACTCCTGACCTCTCCAGAGAGGAGCTCCTGACTTCCTCATTCCAGGAAACCAGGCTGCAAGAGGCAGGCAAGTCTTACATTATTTTTGGTAGGGTGGGGGGTGGGGGCAACGCCAGTAGGAAAAGTGAACTGCTCTTTGTATTATCATCTAGTCCAACACTATGAAATTACAAGCTACCCAACTGAAAGGAAGTCCCTGGATTTCTAAACTGTGTTCTGGGGAATCTTCAGAGACTTTGTGAGAGGCCAAGAACAAACAAAAAATTAAGTCAAATGCAGCCAATTTTCTTAACTAGTTTTACCTCTTGATCAGAAGTTTGTGATTTTTTTTAAAAAAAACTAACAAGTTCCTTGGCCTCTACAGGTTTGAAAACACTTGTCTAAAGCAAGGGCGCCATCTATTGAATGCATTTTTATAAACATTACTGGTAGAACTGGAAAGAAATAACCTTAGTATTTATTGGTGAGTTTGATTGTTGTATTTAGTAACATTTCACAAGAGAATTCTTTCATGGATAGTCTCCTGTACAGATTAGAAATAGTTATGCTCATACAGGGAGCAAAAAAAATTGCAGATCAATCTCTCAACAGGGCAGTTTAAATTCTAGTTGCATTTGTCTGCTGGACTAGTCTTTTGCACTGTTTGGGCCCCTAACGGCTTCCTAAGTTTTACCTTACTATACAAACTGATAAACTATGATTTACTGTTTCAGTTTAAAGAATAGGCCCCAGTTCACATGCCATGCTAGGTCAGGTAACTCAATACAAGTTTCTCCCAACAGGTGAACTCAACTGCTGCTTTATAGTGCAAGAGATTAGGACTCCTTATGAAACAGCTAATTGTGGCAATTAGCTTAAGAGAACCAAATGGAAAGAATATACAAGGGTTTTTTTTAGATTAGAACAGCTCCCAACCTATTCACATCATTCTGAAAAATCCTCTATCCAAATGTCATACTAAGTGGACAAATTAAGCTATCCATGTTAAAATCATGAAGAGAGAATCCTCTCCTAAAGAGAGGCATCTGCCACAACGTTGTTTAGTTTCCATGTCTAATCTTCACATGCTGTATATATTAAACCAGGGGTGTCAAACTCAAAGCCGGATTTGGCCCATGGGGTACTTAGATCTGGCCCGCAGGGCTGCCCTGGAAACAGTGAAGGATTGGCCCGCAGCGCCTCTGCCAGTGAAAACAGAGATCAGGATGGCCACATGCTGCCCTCCTGAGCTTCATTTTCACTCGCAAGGGGTTGTAGGAGGCTATCACAGCCAAAAATGGAGCCCGTGCTCTGTTTTCACTGGCAGAGGGCTGCAAGAGTCACAGCCAAAAAAAGGAGCTCGGGAGCTTGTTTTCACTGGCAGAGCCCTCGCGCCACCATCAGCGCCCTTGACACAAGTGATGTTGAGCTGGCCACACCCACCCCAGCCTCACAAGGTCAAACACAACCCTTCTGCAGCTCTCAATGAAATCGAGTTTGACACTCCTATATTAAAGGAAATGGTTTGCATGTGGATATTGCCACAAAGTACCAGGGTAGTTTTTACCCAAACAACTGAAGCAGGGCCTGCTACAAGCCCTGCCCCTTCTAGAAATGCATGTCCGGTCCTGAGACATGCACAAAAGGGACAGGGCTTTCCTTGTGACCTTACAAGTTTCTTTTGTCATTCTGTCCTGCTTTGCAGACAGCCCTAGGCATCACATATAGACTGTTTTGGGACTGCAGTGCAATCTTCTAGGGAGGCCCGTTTGTGGAGACTTCCCCTGGCCATGTTTCTACTCTCACGGCATAGATGGGACCTCAGGGCAGGATTGACATTTATTAAACAAATTTAAATTTAATAGCACATTTTTATTGCCTCTTTTAGGCAAGACTCTCCTCTTTCCATATTCAAGCATAGAAAAATTGCTGGTGGCCTGGTTACTATAAAACAAGACTGCCCATCTCATATATTCATTGATACTTTTTTTCCAAAAGCCACATTGAATTTATAACCTATCAGTTTCTGTGTCTTAAGCTACAACATCCACTCAGATGTTGTACCACTTCTACCATTTTATTTTCAGTCTGTCTCTGAACTCATCAACATTCTTTGAAGGATACTAACATTTTTGTTGGAACCCTGATATAAGCATCATCTCCATAATTCCTCCCATCAACTCTGTTATTACACCAAATAAATATTTGAACTGTTTAATTTCAGTTATTGTCTGCTAAGTATTGGGGAAAAGCTAAGGTGAAATCAGCAAATTGTCCCCTCTATGCACACACACACACACACAATTCAAATTGCCATACAACCAAGCGTTTACCAATTCACAAGTATCTTGGAAGATGCCTAGTTCTAAAAGATGTGTCATAGCCTTAATGAGAATTATGTTTTCTTAGGGTAGCAATGTGATTCATGCTGCTGTTTTAGGGAGTAGGGAGGGCAGACTAAAAATGTTCCATGTCTCAAAAAACTAGGAACTGGTCAGACTCCCTATATTCCAAACAATCTCAGGTTTATTCTGATTTAACAACATAAATATTTATATACTATTTCTTGCATACAACTTAGATTTATATACATCTGTTCTTGAAATGCAGATTTTGTTAAATCGGCAGAGCCCTAAACAGAAATTTCACATGATAAGGAAATAGTGGAGATGTGAAAGAAATATGGATTCATTCACAAATGTGTATCCTAACCTGGATGGCACTTATTTGGGTGCCTTAAAGATCAGTGTTTTGTCTGGCAAATGTTCCTTTTATCATTCCATTTATGAAGTTATTGCCATTACGAAACAAACACGCCTAGAATGCAGGTCTAGGATCTCTTTGAGGTTAAAACCTATGTTTTATTTGTACTATACATATACCTGCCAAAACAGAAACCTGCATAAGGTTTCAAGTGTCCTTGTTTATTCAGGTAACAACAACAGATAGATGTTTTGTCATTATTTGTGCCAATAATGTAACTGTTGTCATCTGAGGTAGTGAGCTGGAGAGAGAAACTGCTTTCTTCTTGTTATTTAGAATTGAGCAGGCCTGAGTTTTGAAGATTCTTATGATAAGAAAAAGGAGCAGCACTTGGCTGATGAGATCATCAATTCTATAAAGTCCTTTGACAAATATACGGAAAACAAAAAGAGATCTTAAAAGAGATCCAAGTGTGAATTTGAGTCAAAAGTCAGCGCTGACCCTCAACACCCTGCGGTATTTTCCTGGTGCTAGCAACTCCAGTGTCAGCTCTGTTATGATTGCTGTAAGTCCCCATACACGGTGAGGACCGTGCAAGAAGACAGGCATTGTGTAGCAGTAGATCCCATCACGGCAAAAGTGGGTGTAGCCCTGGTTCTTTTCTTGTAGCAAGTGGGAGAAAGACAGTGTGAAGACAGCCTCGACCTGTAAATTGAACAACAAAGATGGAGTGGAAGCATAACTAGTCTAATATAGTTATGGGATAACTTCTCTTCCATCAAAATCCTTTGGAAGTAATTAGTTCAGATCTCAAACTGTAACATAGAAGGGGAAAAAAGGATCAGAAAAAAACAGAAGCAAAAAAGGGGGGGGGAGGTTCAGAAATAGAAACATCTGGTATCAAAAAGAAAGAAAATGGTGCATCCTACCCATAAGATCCCTATCACAGGTTGCTTATGCTCCACTCAAGAGATTACTTCCAAGGAAATTAGTGCTTAACACAGGAAGAATTGCCACTAGAACAGGGGTGTCAAACTCGCGGCATCATGTTGCTGTCATATGACGTTTCCCTTTGCAGAGCTGGGCGGGCATGGCCTGTGCATGATGCATCCGGCCCGCGGGCTGCCACTTTGACACCCCTGCACTAGAATATCACTGTGTCTGAGAATTTTGTTTCACACCCATCTTCTTGGAAAAATATATTGAATAAAAATAATATGTGATACAGTATGTCCTAGTTAATATTCTGATTCACCTCTTGGGGGTTAGGTTTCAGTGTCAGGTTCTCCAAAGGCCCCAGGTTTGCTAGTACAGGAGCCACCATCATATTAGTCTGAAAAAAAAAGGCAGAATTAAAGATATGAATCTTTCACTATCCCATGCTTCATCAAAACAAGGCATATCCCAAGTGCCATGTTAATCCTCTAGCCCAGCCAGTTCTATTTTCTGGAAATTTTCCATTTCTCTCACCTCAGACAGCAATTACAAAAAAAAAGTTTCCCCCCAACTAATTCTAGCACAAAACAGCATATCCACCATGATCCCATGACAGAAGTCTATTTCAAAGTTAATCTTATCCCTGAAGATAAGGGGATCAATTAAGCATTACCCTATCAGGAACAGGTCTCATGATTCCCCAAACACAGTCCTCCTTTAACTGTATGCCCAGCTCTTCATGGGTCTCCCTCAGTGCTGTGGTGATGGCATCCTGGTCAGAGTCATCACGTTTACCACCTGGGAAACTGCAAAAGCAAATATGTTATTGTGCAAGGGAAGTTTGGGAGGGGAAATCTCAAGATTACTTGACAGGGACTGGGAAAGTCAGAAAGTTTCCTGGACATCTTGTGGCTCACCACTAACTTTGTGCCAAGTTCTTCAGTGAAAATACATCCTGTTGAATTGCCATCCTGGTTTTCAAATACCTCCACAGCCTACATTGCTATTAAACGTTTGCATGCCAATTTGTAATGTTCAGCTAAACAATGCTTCCCTGCCCTTCTTTAGAACAACTCTAAAACAATTAGGTCCTGCCTTTTGCAAGACTTTCATATATCTGGAGACCACTACTGTGCCTCTCTTTAATCTTCTCTATACTCAGGCTTCCAGCTGTTCTTCAGAAAACTTATGATGTTCACCAAAGACAAGAGGATGTGACTGAGGGTTAATGATTCCCATCTGGGTATTCTGCAATTTATCTTTGCATTTACCAAGGAGGAAGAATAGCTGTCAAGTACCTGACTTCCCCTTTGTATGAACCGGTCAGAGTGCTTGAACGCAGAGTGTACAGGATCGCTGGATCCCCAGCCACGGAGCACAGTGATACCAGCACAGCTGCCCTCATAGTTTCTTTCTTGTACCGGACAGTGGATTTCTCTAGCAGTCCTCTGCACCGCTGCTCGTTTTCCCAGGATAAATATTTACGTACCAGACCCACACTGGCTATGGGTATATGCAGCGTACGCTGGCAGAGGTAGTGCAGAGACGGAAGCATAGTGCCCTAAATGGGGGGGAAAAAGAGGAAAGGGAGAATTTCACCTGAATGGCAGCCCACACCTTGCAATTTAGTAATTCCTTGAGCCTCGCCGCATGGTTCCTAAGGCTAGTCCAAACTTGTTGTGCAAGAGAGGCAGCGAGGGCTAAAGTTTGGAGTCCAAACTCAAGGGTCTACATTTCATCTCCCCTGTCAAATCTGGACCGACCACTCTTAGTCTGCGACAGTCGTTTCATATTATGTCAGGAAACGCGGCTGCGACCCTCGTACAAACACAAAGACCCAGGAAATGCACGCGGAATTTGACAAGCCCAGAGCAGGCAGGAGTTTAAGTCCTCTACAGTCAGAAAACGAGAGCTATCATAGGATGGTTAATCAGGGTGCAGGTCTTGGGTATTTTTGTTTTGCCTTATCATAGGAACATCACCTGAACATCACCTCCCATTATCCTTAGCCAACCAGCCTGAGATGGGAGCTGTAATCCATCCCATCGAGGAGATGCCGGGCTTCTGAAACCGTCCCATTCAAAGTCTCCAGAAGAAAAGGAAAAAAAAGAGGTTCGTTCTTTGGAGAGCAGCCACCAAGGAAAGGCACAAGACAGTCTTCGGTCCGCTACCACAGTTACCCACAAACTACCCGGGGACGCAACCAGCTAATCAGATCAACCAAAACTCAACGAGAGAGAATCCCACTTCCTATTAGCCCCGCCCCTCCCCTCAACAAACATGGCGGAAGTGAAAAGCTTCCCAGCCTGCTTTTCAACAAAATGGGGCGATGTCAGTTGGGGCATACTTCCGCCAGGGCGAAATATGGAAAGCGCCATTCTAACCTCGTAGAAACGTTCCTCCGTCAAAAGAAGGGATTCTTCGCCGAGAGCAGCTTAAAACGGACAGCCGAGGACACAGCCTCCACCAATGAGATCGGTAGATGGCAAAAGCCACGCCCCAAACTGAGAGGCTGGGCGGTGAAACGAGAGCTCCCTCGACCCTTAAGAGACCTTGAGGGCGGCTATTAGGATTTGATGGCTAGAAAGGTTAGAGGACTAAACGGCTCTTTAAGGCCTCTTTCTTTCAATGATTTACACAGAAAAGCTTTATGCTGACATACTGTGACAAGTCTGAATTCCACCCAATATACATGTATTCTTAAGACTATGGGACACAAAAAGATCCATTTAACTCAAGGTTGATACTTGCTTTTAATGAGATTTTAAGATATTTATTGAACAATAATTTTAAAAATCCTTACTTTTCAGGACAGGTAGCGTGAAGATAGCAAAATGATAGCATCAATAACAAAATGAAAATTGTTTGGGGTTTTCTGCCCTGGAATTGTTCCCCAAAATGATGTACATTTACCACCTTGAATTACTTGTAAAAATAATAAAGGTGGGATACAAATAAATAAATGCACCCAGGAATTGTCACAATCATTTTGTTATCTAGAAGTACAAATAACCCAGTGTCTTTTGTAATGGTATCACCTATTATTCAGGAAGTTATTTTAAGCATGTCTGCCAGTGCCAACCTTAATATCTTAGACAAAAAATGTGGCCTATTTACTGTGGAGAAATATGTTAAAAGAATTCAAATGCCACCATGGCTGAACATATGATGTAAAGTGGATAAGAGGACAGGTCCCATTTTAATATTCCTAAGTGAGGTTGGAACCCTGATATAACATTATGTTTTACCCTCTATGCTAGGTTCTCCATACACCCTGTACTTTTCCCCCCATCACTGTAAATGAAACAGGAGTTTATTATAGTATGATATCTATATTTAAACAATTTAGATGCCATTGAACAATTCTGAAGTGGCAGATAGTTTAAAAACCTGTATAGAATACCATAAAAGAAAAAAAAATCATAAGCAGTCCAAAGACATACTACTCCACTTTGTATAAAACCATTTGCAAGTCTTTTCTCCCTTTTACTTTCTCCCAGAGCAACAGCTGAGCCAAGAGTACAAGAATTACATAATGTACTAAGCTATAGTTTTTGGCTTTAGGGCACAGTATGCGAATCCTGAAACTATTTAAAAAGCTAGTTCAAGAAGTATGGATAGCCATCTTTTATTACAATGCACTACTCCTTTCTTACTAAGTGTCCAGTTTCTAAAGATGACTGATACTGCTCATCCAACAGATGATGATGGTGGTAGTGGTGGTTACCCATTCAGTCAAGTCCGACTCTTGGCAATTCTCTGGGCCAGGTCTCTCTACATCTTCCAATCCTGTACTATTTCACTGAGTTTTTCTATGCTCTGGCTGATGTCAGCTTTGAGAGTGTCCAACCACCATGGTTCTTTCATAATCTGGGTTCCTTTTGCCGCTAACTCTTCCAAATGTAATTGCTTTCTCCAGTGAATTCCCCCACGACATGGCTAACTGCACATCCAACTATATATGCAAGACAATACTGAAATATACCTGCAGAGCTAGATGTGCTGCATTAGACCATTTCATCCTGTTTACTACTTTAAAAAATTTAAAACATTTGCAAATTAATAGTACAATCAGCTTTCCATTTCATCTGCACATTTATAGGCCTTGCAGAAGAATTAGGAACAGGAAAATAAAGGTTTAGATGAGTCCATCAAAGTTATATTTATGTACTACAGACTCCTGATTGGTCTTTTGGACAATATTTTCCCATGAACTTATATAGATTAGAACTACTTCTTTGCTTTATTTCATAATCAGTAACTCCATATCATTTGATTTTCAGTTACTTTCATGGGGCTTCTTGCATTTTATTTCTAATGCTGTACATCATCCAGAGCCACATTTATGAATTAGATGGTCATATAAATCCAATAATCAAATAAGATCATATCTGGGTATTCACCTTATTTTCCTTGCTGTAAGAAATTACACAGATCAGTCTAAAGTATTTAATAAACTGCCCAAGAAGAAAACAAAGAAAAACTGGGGGTTGAGGCAGGTTGTCACAAATAATAGAAATTAAACTCTGTTACTGAAGCCCAAGTAAATGTAGATGTGGGCTACAAAAGATAAAAAAAAGTGTAACTTCTTTGAGGTGGGCTTTATCATCCAGATGCCTGCTTTTTAAATTCATTGTATTGCCTCATCCGTTCCTCCAGCTCTGGACGAAAGTGACGAATTAGGCCCTGTAAGAAATCAAGCACAGGAGTTACCCATTAAATACATCGGTAGCATTCCCTGTACTCCAACCTGAGGCCTCCCTACGAAATCATTTCATTTCTAGCTCTCCCTTAAGCAAATTGTGCGATTCTTCAGCACATTCTGAAGTAAAGAGGAAATTACCTGCACAGGCCAAGCAGCCCCATCTCCCAGGGCGCAGATAGTGTGACCCTCAATTTGTTTGCTAATCTCCCAGAGTGCATCAATTTCTGCCACTTGTGCATTGCCTTTCACAAATCGCCACATGACCTTGTTCATCCAGTCAACACCTGTAGGTAGGGAATCAACATAAAAAGTGGAATACAAAGCCTCATGAAAATCAGTGAGGCAGCACAGTCCTGAACACAGAAGCGTAAATTGATTTTGCTGACCAGGTTACAGGTCTTTTCCCGACCTCAGCTTGGCAATTTCCCTCCTCAGGGATTTTCAGATATCTGCTTCAACTGTATTTTAAATAATACTGGCGTAAGCAAAATAATGTGAAATTGTGAACTTTTTTTTTCAATCCCAACCCTAATTCAGAGAATTATGGGATAATTTTGCTAACACTTCAAAAGGTTTGAATAACAACACTAACCTTCTCGGCAAGGTGTGCACTGCCCACAACTTTCATGCTTGTAAAATTCAATGAGGCGAGCAATGGCTCGAACTATATCTGTCTGGGGAGAAAAAGAAGAAAATGAAGATATGTCACACACTAAACACAGAGAAATAAGTCTAGGGAACATTGCTTACCGACTTGTCCATGACAATGAGAGCTGCTGTCCCAAGTCCAGTCTGTGCCTCCACCAAGGCATCAAAGTCCATCAGAACTGTCTCACACACTGACTTGGGGATGAGCGGAGTTGAAGAGCCTCCAGGAATCACAGCAAGCAAGTTATCCCAGCCACCTCTAATCCCCCCTGATCAGAAGGCAGAAACACAACCATGAGGCCTGGCTCTTTAGATGATTGGATCAGGTCAACATACAAGGGGAACAAAATGAACTAAAAAGCTGATGCCACTAATATAGGTATCTAAATTAAAGTGACAGCTCATTCTTTAGGGTGAATAAATCATTTTCACCTGCATGCCGTTCAATTAAATCACGCAATGGTATTGACATCTCCTCTTCCACAGTACAAGGGGTATTGACGTGGCCCGAGATATTGAAGAGCTTAGTGCCAGAGTTACGCTCACGTCCAAAGCCAGCAAACCAGGTACCTCCTCGACGGCAGATGGTAGGTGCTACTGCAACTGTTTCCACATTTGCCACTGTGGTAGGGCACCCAAAAACCCCTAGAGAAAGAAAGAAAATGGCTTAACAACATTTCTGAACGATCTAAGACGAAAAGGAGAATGGACACAAGAATAATCAAAATGGGAGTTTTAGTACTATTAAATGGGATAGTTGATAGGGACTTCAAAGTTATTTTAGCTGAAAAAAGTATGTTGATGACATATATAGATAAGACAATGAGAGTCTCATGTTGACTTGAGGAAGCATATTAGAAATTCCAACACACACACACACACACACAAATCCCAAAACCTCTAGTAGGAGCATTTAAAATGCCTTACCTACATCTGCAGGGAAAGGAGGCTTGAGGCGGGGTTTGCCCTGTTTGCCCTCAAGGGATTCAATAAGTGCTGTCTCTTCCCCACAAATATAGGCACCTGCCCCTCTTGCCACAAAGACATCAAAGTCATAGCCAGAGCCACAAGCATTCTTGCCCACCAGTCCTGCTTCATAGGCTTCCTTGATTGCCACCTAATAAAATAAGATAGCATTAATTATTACAGCCAAACATTGGTGACCTTGATTTCTGACCATAGAAAAAGGCAATCTAGCAGACAAAATTAAGGTAACCATAAAAGGAGACAGCAGCTTTACCTGCAAGTTTGATGCTTCATTGTAGAACTCTCCACGTATATAGATATAGGCAGCTCGAGCCCCCATAGATCTTCCTGCCACCAGGCAGCCCTCTATTAGTTTATGGGGATCATGACGCATAATCTCCCGATCCTTACAAGTTCCTGGTTCCCCTTCATCTGCATTCACTACCAAGTACTTAGGCCTGAAACACAGAAATGATTACATCCATCAACAAGAAGAAAAGCCTCTCCATCAGTGTGTGCTAGTTAGCAATGCTACCTAATCTATTAAAGTTTACAGACAGACTACATAACTAATCTATCCAGTTCAGGATCTTCACTCAGTCAATGATCATAGTGTTCAACTTCAGCTGCAAGGAAATCAAGGCTTAGGAAACCTGAGCAAACAAGTATGCATCCTAAATATTACTGAGGAAACTATATTTGTATTTCTGCAGCCACTGAAAATGATAATATTTTAGCCATATGGCAAACTAGGCTGAGAAAAGGTGAATTTTAAATAAGAGCACACATAAAGATGTTTGAAGCTGCCTTTTCCAAGTACAAACTCCATTCACCTAGCCAAAAAACTATGCCCCTTATAGCAACTCTTCTGGAAATCTGGCTGCTTCAGAGAGCCAATCTTTCTAGAGAACACAACTTTTAAAAAAACAGAGAGAAAAAAAGA